AGTATTTCTCCCAGTTTCTCTTTGTCTTTTCCACTTTAAAGCCCACACGTGACACGCGATGGGCCACGCGGGAGGAAGGAAGTGTCCTCTAGGGAGGGTACCATACCATCATATCCATAGCCCGGCACGAGCATTCCATTTTAAGGTTCATTAAATTTGTGTAGTGCCTTATTCAGAAATACGAGATACGAAGCTGGATCCAAAGGACTCTCCATGTGCAAGGGAAGATGCTATAATGCACTTGTCCACTTTAACGCAAATCTTTTCTCGCTCCCGTTGCAAGAGTATCCCAAGAAAAATCGGTCTTTTGAGAGTCTTGGGCCTGGGTGTCGTTTGTCGTTCTATTGCTCTCGCGCTGAAAATATCTCCGAGTCACTTTAGGGCATCCTTGGGAGCAGTGCCTCTGGGTATCCTCCGACCCGCGTTCCCCATTCCATTTGCCCGCATGCAAATTTATTTTGATCGAATTTTCCAACGGCCGCCGCTGTGGCTCGTTGTACCCTCTATTTAAAAGTGTCTTAGTGGCAGCAATAAAATGTTTATTACACACTTGGTCGAATTGTCGATGGAGAAATGGCAACGGGTGGCCTGTAGTTCAATGCAATGAAAGCGTTCAAGAACCCCACCCGAAACGATACCCAAATTCGCCGAGTCAGAGCTGCTCAATTAATTGCAGCTCAAAGTATTGAAAACTTTCCGCGAACGCTTAAAAAGTTTCGCAGCTTTTCCAAAAGTCATTGGCAATATTCGAGTTTGCTTGGCTGCGGCCCGAACTTTGCAGACTGCCGCCGAAGGCAGCCGCGGCAACAGCCACAGCCACAGCCACGATTTATTTAATTAAAAAGTGAAAGCGTTGCACATAGCTATGCTTTCTTGCCCCATTCCATGCCTTTCCGTTACCGTTGCCTACCTACCTATATGGCACGGAAGCCATTGACACGACTTTAAGGAATCGCGGAACTCGGAGATCTCCCAATCTTCTGCCTTCCCTGCCTTCTGGGGGCTGTGCGTGATAATTTTATGCGATTGCGGTCACATTAATGGCTTGAATTCGGTTTGATTTAGGACTCGAGTGCGTGGCGTGGAATTTGCAATTACACTGCCTAATCCCGCCCCCCTGCTGGGCTCTACTACTACATCTACGTCTACCGCTTCCGCTACCCTCAGCAGTGCGCTGACAGCTCAACTTTGACGGGACTTGCCTTTACGGCGGGCACGTGTCGTGTTGTTGGTTTCGTGTGATTTATGCCTTATGGGTCCCGGCCCCAAAGTACGAATACTCGTATTTCTAGGCAACACTCTTCAGAGCCGAGTTGGCAGGATGTGCGTGCCTCCAGTTTTTAATTGCTTTCCCGTTGTTCGGGGCCATAACTGAATTATTGATATAGGTCAGGGTGCACAGGTTATTGCCGGAAATAGCCTCCCCCCGCCACTAGAACACCCATCCATTCGGCATCCATGCAGAACGTTTATAAAAACGACCCCTTATTAATGTATTTATCACTTGGAGATGTATTTATTTATAGACAAGCTTCTATAAATATTTAACTGACGAAGCAACGGCTTAAAGCAGTTCCTCCATTCCTGTCTGATAGAATCTTATCCTAATTAGATTATAAAATAATTTGCAAAGAGAATTTTGCAGAGAAAATCCTTTTTCAATCGCCGGATCTGAACAAGCAGTGTGGTGTGAGGAGGGCAATTCCAAGGAAAAGGCTTAGCACTTAGCACACAGAAATTGTGATGAATCGAGAAATTGAAAATATAATCATAATGCCATCAATTTGAAGCGGAATCTTTCATTAGGGCATTTGTAACTTTTCAAAGCGGCTTATCCGGCAACTTGACAACAATGGAAAACCGTTCAACAGCTCCAGCAGAGAGCAGACAGACTTATGAACAGCTTACGCCGGAATCCAGCCGCTTTTCTCTGCAGCACTGCCTACTTAGTAGGAGTAGGATCTATGAAATATTTTGGTTATGTAGGTTTTTGGCAGAGGGCCACTCTTCTCGATAACCTATGAATCAACTGCTTATGCCCTTCGAACGAGGACAAAGTTTTTCATTGAAAAGTAATGAATGACATTTTGGGCGTGAAAGTACAAAGATGGGAAGTACGTACGCAAAAATAACCACCGAGCACAGCACAGCACAGCAGAGCACAGCGCACCCCCTAAACCACCCAAGCCCCACCCACGCTCTGACAGGCACACTTCAAAATGTTCATCTGCACCACACATTCAATTTGAGAAACGGCACAAAAATGTGATAAGATTTATGGGGAATCTTCAAAGCTGGGACAGACAGAGGCGGCACTCCGGCAAGCGCACACCCGTTGCCAAAGCGTGAATCTCATAAAACAGGCAGTGAGTGCCACAGCAACAGCAACAGCAGCAGCACAGGGAGCAACAGAATTACAACGACTTGTTCGCATACCCATTGCTCGGGGACCGTAAGTGTATGTTCTATCGGTGTGCAAGTATGATGCACGTATGGGTTTATGGGTGCCTTCTAGTCGGAACATCGAATGAAGAGCGAGTATCATGCTTGCTTTGTAATAAAGCGAAATACAACAGCTACAAACAACTACACACATGTGTGGGGGGAGAGGGGAAAAGCTACAAGTGTGTGTGTGTGGCACAATATCCGTGCTCCGTGCCACAATCAGAGACGCACTCACACAATGAAAATTGTATATATCTGTTGGGATTGAGTTTAGAAAAGTTCTCTGGCAAGCCGGCATGCGTGCCTTACTTTTAGTTTCCCGTTCGCGTGAGGCCTCTTCGAAATATCCAAGACTCCGCCACACACAGAGGGGAAGCCGGATACCTATTAAGGGGCCCGCAATGTGTTGACAGGCTTGGGCAATCAAATAATAAAGTTTTGCTCTCCTGACGTTTGTCTGGATAAAGTTTTAGTTTGATGTACGAGTATTGGGCCACAGCATCAAACACGACAGCGAGTAGCGCTAACTGCAGCACGTAAAGTGCTTAATCGTCTGGCAAGCATTAGGGTCGGGTTCCCGCCTTTATATCCGGGCCAGGCCCTTTCCTCTTCCCTTTCCTGGTCTCGCAGATCACACATCCATTTGCCGACGCACGAGTTCATTTGTTGTTCTGTCGAAAAACTTAATTGATTTGAGCGACGCCAGTAAGTCTGTCTCTGTCGGAGAGTATAGGCACACACTTGGCTAAATGTAGCCCACTTTAACCGGAAGTGTGTATACTCGTAGTGTTTGGGGTGCCATTTTGTACAAATTCCACATGACGGTGCTCATCCTATTGCATACTTTCAGGGGTGCCCGCCCGCCAGTCCCAAACAATGAACAAGCAATCATTGGGAATCAAGCTGATGGGATATTAGGGCAGGCATCTGGAAAATCATATCTCCTTTGAAACTACTTGCATATATATATGAAATCCTTCACTTGTGTATCCCTCCTTCAGTGGAAATCTTTGACTCAGCTTGGAACAAAGTGTAATATGCAATCCACAGCTTGTTCCAGGAATATGCAGACTACGAATGCCGTGCCCCTCAGCTTTCACCCCAATTTCCAGAGTAATTGGCCAAAACATTGTACACATGTTTGCCCTTCTACGAACCTCCTTCTTTTTTTTGTTGTTGCCTAATTGTAGTAATTTGTTTGCCCCAGGGCACACGAGGCAAGTCTTTGGAAAACCACCAAACCACCAACCAAAAAATGTCGTCCACATGCTGTTTGCGTTTGAGGACAAAGTGCAAAGCTCTCCAAAATGGCCACGTGTCCGCCTGAGAGTTTGTTGGCCGCTTGAGACTCCCTGGAAAGGATTTCGATGCCTCGATCTGTGCTGTGTGCCTTTGTGGCTGCCGTGCGGCTGACAATGGCTTACTCGTTAAATATTTATTTATGTTTTTACGCTAAAGCACAAGAAAAACACAGCGAGAAATCAACAAGTCCATTGCCTTCGGGGCGCTGACCCATCCCGCGGAGATGCGGCAGCTCCAGGGGCTCCAGCTCCAGCCAAAACGATAAAAATCGGAGGATACAATATACAATATTCTGCCGCAAATTGAAATGCTGTTTGACTGCCGCAAACTGTACTTAAAGTTGAGTCGCAGATACCTCTTTAAATCCACCGGAAGCTGGCATAAAAGATAATCGAAAGCTCAGACGGATAACAGAGGCGGAATAGTCAGTCGCAGGATGCGTATACCCTTCAGTTGATATCCTCCTCAACATTTGGGCTTAATGCAAGCAGAAAGCTTATGTGTTTTCATTTCACTGTCCTTCAAGGGTATTAATATTAATGTCTCAATCGAAAAGCCATTAAAATTAAATGCTCAACTCGATTTAAATGCAAATTACCAACCACATTTCCACATTTTGTGATGAGAAACATTACTTGAAGGTGGTCTCCTTACTGTATATTTTTGTGTGCATTTTTCGTTTTACCTATTTTAATATAATTGATGTCAATGTATTATTCATTGTGTAACGTACACATGGCGACTGCCAGTACCAGGCTGCCAGTACCAGGCCTCTAGTACCAGGCCATGGGCAAAAGAGGCCCTGACCCTATAAAACGGCATTTCGATTTTGCAAGACATTTCAATGTTTTCTTAAGGTAAAAACGAATTTCTTTTGCTTGTTTCTAAGAAGAAATATTGCATTTTAGCTTTCCCAAAATTTTATTGGTAATAAAGTGTCAAAGAAATGGAGAACTACTGCGGCTTTTGAGCTGCCAGCAGGCAAAGCCGTTGTTCCGATAACTGATTCGTTATAGGCGGAATCCCAACAATGGAAAGTAGATGAAATTCGTATTTTAACCAACTCAATCGTAGCCATTTTGATGGCCCTTAAGTATAAGTCTATATTGTAACCCTCTTCGTATTTGTTCTCCTTTTTCTTTGGCTAAAGTGCAGTTCCACATTAGGTGGAAATTTCTCATTATTCAATTAATTTTATCCCCCGTACTTGAAGACTGAAGACTACTACAAAATTGTTTATTATTGAAAGTAAATTAGTTAATCGCCACAGAAAATCCACAGCGCAAATTTAATCGTGCTAATTTCAGAGATAAGCCTTTGTTCCTGTTCCTGTTCCTGCTTAGTAACTAACAAATTATGTTTACTTCAAAAAAAAATTACTGTATTTACTGCACTGTATTTAAACACAATTTAAACTCGATTGCAGGGACAATGTTTTTATAGAAGGGAAAGAGCAGCCCGGACCCGGCACACACGAATATGGAGTTGGTTTTATTTATGTCTATTTCGGACTGTAAGGCGATTACCGTGTCCGTCTGCGGGTGCAGTGCCTGTGTGCGTTCCGTGGAGAAGGGCTCCGCTCCTAAATGTATGTACAACATAGGTGGTACAGCTAAAGATAAAATACTCGTACATCTAACAAAAAAAGTGAGTGTGAGTGTTGGTAAGTGTAAGTAGAATACAATAGAATCCGGAGACAGCTAGGTCCCGGTTCCGGTCCCCATCTCGGTCCTGGTCCTTTTCTACGAGTAGAACGTCAGCACACTCGTCTGGTTTCCGCGCACAAACAGGAATGGTGGCATGTCGCGGCTGAGACTCTCCAGCCATGCCATGTAGAGGGGGGCGGAGACGATGTTCTTTCGAGGCATGGGCAGCGTCATGACCACCAGATCCGACTTTGTCGACTGCTCCCGCAGGTACTCGCGCAGACGGAGATATCGATTGGTCTTGTCCTGAACGGCCAGCAGATCATCGTCACTTATGAGAGCTGAAGCGAGTGATTGAGGGTGATTAGGGGTTGATTGGATATGGAGACAGACAAAAGCCTGGTAGTCTTACTTTCGTCCTCGTTGAGGGTCGCCCTGCTGCTGTTACCGTTCTCGGTGTCCTTCTCGCTCACCACAAAGTCCTTAATTAGCTCATTAAAGAACTGCGTAGACGATTCGAGCGGCTTCTTGGTTATGTCAGGTATCAGTGTCAGGTCGGAGTAGTCGATGCGAAACTTGGACAGGAGACTGGCCATGGAACGTTGCTCGAACTCCAGCTCCGAGTTCTTGTTAGCCAGCGCGTACACCCTGTGGGGCAACATAGTGAAATGAATGTAGTAAAAAAGAGCATCCACATCCACACCCACGCCCACACCCACAATCACATTGACGGCACACAGTCGAGTGTAACACGCCCATTAAGCCGCTTACTGCATGCACCCGACTAGAGTTACTTTGAAATGGGAGTCAAAAGCAAAGCGGATTTGCCACAAAGCAGTAAATTAAATGCCACATATCCCGCATTTTATCTTGGAAATGTCCATGGGCATCCAATTGGCATTGCATGTACAAGGATTCTTTTTTTAAAAAAAATGCTACTACTTCAATAGTGCTGTAACTCGGTACTTTTCCATCAGCACATCAGACTTCGCGTCACATCATATGGGATGCTAATTTATCTTTAAAACGCGAAAAAAAATCCCCCGTAGCCCTTATATTTATGCCATTTTGTTTGCCCCGAGACTTGTCATTTATATGAGAATATTTGATCTTGAATATTTCAATTTTTTCTTCGATTTAAAGTGTTTTGCATTCAATTTAAACATGGTTCGTATTCAAATCAAAGTGAATTCTGTTTAATTTCCCTTCGTTTGTATTTAAACAACGAATGCTTTATTCAAACATGTGTGTTTTCGCTTTTACTATGCCAGGGGAGTGCATTCAGTGCTGGCTCTGCCGCAATCAGCAGCACTTGCGGCCGCAACCAAACTCTGAACAGTGCTGGGGATTCACTTTTCCCCAGATGGAAAAAGTTAACTGCGGAAACATACGAGTATGTACTATATGTATGTTCCGCTTACCAGCGAATGTGTAAATCTAGACGCAAAGAGCCAATGGGAATGGCGTCGAAATTCCTGCTCGTCGAAATCCGTGGTCGGGCTTACCTCAATTTGCACGATTGCCAGGTGCGTCGCGTACTGATGATGTAGGGCAGCAGGAGTGTGAGGCCACCGTCGTCGTACAGCCACCAGACATCGATCACGGCATGGCTGCGCTTCCTCGTGAACTGGGTGAGGTCGGAGAGGATCTCCTTGGACAGCTCCACCCCGCCAGGACCCTTGTAGAGGGAGGCTGGGTCGTCGTGCTTCAGCTTGGACTTGCGCAGGGTGTTGGGCTGCGGCAAGTGGCGCGGTGTTAATATGTGGCATATTAGATTTTACGCTTTCACTTACCACCACATTGGCCGCCTTGGCCTCGAGAGGATCGGGGGAGCCGGACACATCCTTAGCCTGATTGCTGGCTATAAACGAGAGGTCGCTGGTACTGGAGGCTGTTGGGAAGCGAAGGGGCAAAATCAGTACTGGCCTATAGGCACGAAGAACGCTTAGAGTCTGGGCAACGGCAAGTCAAAGGATAGATAAAGCGAAACAACATTTCATTTCATTTCATTCAGGGCATGCACAGACAACAAGAGGCATGAGGCACGAGGCATGGGGCAAGTGCGGGTCTCTGCCGCTTTTCAATATCCACTTTTCTTGCCTTATCGGCAGAGCAGAGACAGACAGTGTGTACGAGTATGTATGTATGTATGTATATTTAAATCAACTTGTTTGTTCTCCGATGCGGCACGTGCCGCGGCCATGTAGGGGACTAGGAGCTCCCTGGATTTGCAGTCCTCTTGTTGCCTTCCACATGTTTCCGGCATCCGCATCCCCGGATATCCCGGCTGGACATTTTACAATTTAAAATTCAAATTTACGAGCATTGCATTAATTTTGCGGCATCAGATTGCCGAAAAGGTCGGCCACACAGCTGTCGAGCCATCGACGGGTTCGGAAGGCCAAGAAGAGCTGGAGCGAGAGCCACCAAGCCCGTGGCCATTAGCACCTCGTGTGGGACACCAGTGGGACGGTGCGGCAGCTTGGGATTAGTTCCGATGCTGAGTGTCGTTAATTTGTTGGAAAGTTTATGGCTTAATTGGGACAACACGGTTTCAGGCATCAATACAACAGGCAAAAGGAGCAGGCAAGGGGTAAGAACATAGAAGAAAAGTAAGGGCACGAGCAAGGGCGGGGGCAAGACGCATGCACGGTGTTTGGGGTTCGGGGTTCGGGATTCTGGGTGGAGAGCGTGGAGTGTGTGTGGCATCTCTGCATGTAGTTCATTCGTATTCGTATATTTACCTACTACTCAGCCTACAACAACTTCACATTCCATTCAAGCACTTTAGGACACGTAAATCTTAGCTTAAACACAACTTCACCTGCACCTGGCCAGGAGCGCATTCTACGGAGACTCTGCTTAAAGCGCACTGGAAATCCCAACCGGAAACCGCAAGCCGAAACACGGTTCGGATACGGGTGCGCGTACGAGTACGGATACGGGTACGGGTACGGGTACGGGTACGGGTACGAGTGCACGGTTTCACAGATTTGTGTGGGTTGGAGGGAGGTAGAATTGGTGACATTGGTTGACCCTTATATCATTCCACTGGACATGCTACTTACATTTGACTATCTTCAGGCTGTTCTCGGCATGGAGCAGGGCATGGCGGCCACGGTCCTCTGGGGAATTACAATTGTGGTGCAAGGGTGTCGTTGTTGATTGCAGGTGCATATAGCATATTGGTGAAGGTTAGACAGGTGCGGGTTTTTGGGGCAGTACACATGCAAGATATAATCAAAGACAGCATTATTCATTATTCATTGGACTCCTGCAGCCTCCTCCTGCATCGAGCTTCTGCATCTGGCGTCAGTTCTCACCTTGCGACACCGACACGTTGCGGCTCAGGGAGTCAATGCTGCCACCCAGGCCATTCCTGGCGCTGCTGTCGGCGGCCTGCAGGTCCCCGGAGCTCTCGTTGGGCTGCAGCGTCCGCGGCACTTCCGACACGGTCTTCCAGCCATCCTGCGACCCCAGCAGCTGCGAACAGTCCAGACCTTGGGGCACCCGAAGAATGGCTACCGAGAGATACATGTCCAGGGCCTGTGGCGGAAAGGAAGGGAAACGAAAGGATACGGCGACGTTCTTTGGCTGCGGATCTCACGGAAACGGAAACGGTGATGGAACCCACCTTGTGCATCACATTGAAGTATTGGTCCAGCTCCTTGTGCTCGCATGTCTGCCAGTCAGTCTTGTAGCCCAGCAGCAGGATGTTGGGCTTCAGCTTGCCGATGCCGGTGGCCTGCATAAGAGCGCGGGTGCCGGACTCGAAGTCCTCGCCGTCCACCAAGGCGTAGAAGCCCTTGACGCGGTGTTTGCGGAACCAGTTGGCGGCCCGCTCCTGCAGGTAGGTGCGATACTTCTGGGAGCTGGAGCCGCGCAACACGTGTCCGCAGACGAGCAGCGAGAGGTTCTTGGTCAGCATGTAGGCCAGGTCGACCAGCACTGGCCTCGTGTTGGGCAGCCCGGAGAGCACCAGGATCTGCGGGCGGTAGTTCTTCACGTGCTCCTCCACGTTGTTCAGCTGCTGCACCGACATCAGGGCGTTCTTGTACGTCTGCGCCTGCGTGGTGGAGCCCCAGTTGACGTCCGGCTTCCTGTAGGCCACGATTAAGTACAATGCCAGCACTACGGAAAAGGTGATAAGTGCGGTGGCCCACGAGATGAGGAACATGACGGCCACGCAGAGAATGGAGCCCAGCAGACTAAGCCACATGTTGTAATACTGCTCCAATCAACACTGGATTAGTACTGGAATCAAATCAAATGGAAACGGTGCGAGTGTGGGATTACCTTGAAGGTTGGACGCCAGCCCACCGGCTTGGCCAGACTGGCGTGGAAGGTGCTGAAGTTGATCAGCATGTAAGCGGCCAGGAAGAAGTTCGAGATGAGCGGGGCAATCAGGTTCAGTTCTCCGATCAAAATAAAGCTGTAGAGCAGAAAAAACAGAATCAAAAGAGTGTCTCCATGGGACTAGATGCTCCTTACGCTGAGGCAATGATGAAGGTCAGCACGTAACCCCGAACGGGCTCATTGTTCTTGCCAAAGCCCTTGGCGAACCACACGATTTTCGGATAGAGCTCATCCTTGCAGAGTGCCTGTAAAAAACACCAGAGATGGACCAGTCAGAACTCCGTCAAAACTGGATTGTCCGTGCCCTGTCCTACCTGGAAGACTTTCGGGGCAGAGACCAAGCTGGCCAGAGCCGACGAGAGCGTGGCAGCGAAGCAGCCAGCGTAGATCAGCGGCCCAAAGCCGGACACCAGCTCAATCACCTGGAAAGAGTTCTGCAAACCGAATTTGCATCCACCTGGAAATTGAAGACACTAGATCACTGATCAGCTCAATCAGCCTCCTATGGAGATCCTACCGTCCGCACAGTCCAGAAACGCATAGGAGCCATTGATCGCATCTGTAATGTTGCCGGTGGCGTCACGCACCACTGCACCACCGCACTGCAGTACCATGATCAGGTAGGTGGCGGTGGTGATGACGATCGCCAGAATCGTGCCCTTCGGAATGGATTTTTGGGGATCCTACGGAGATGGAAGATGGCAGATGGAAGTGGGTTCAGGGTCAGTGTTCAGCTGATGAGAGTGCGGCAAAGAGATACCTTCAGGTCACCCGATATGTTGGCACCCGCCAGTATTCCAGTGGCTGCGGGGAAGAAGATGGCAAACACCGAGAAGAAGTCATGCTGCACGCCCTTCTCCTCGCGATAGTCCGCAAAGAGGTTTGTGCTGAAGGTAGTGCCTGTGAAGAACCCGAACCGGAAGCATCCATTAGTCTTTGGAATTATTGAAAAAGTGGGTGGCACTCACCATTGTAGCCGAGGAAGCCCTTGGCACGATCCAGTTCGTTCTTGGGGCCAATGAAGCTGCCGATGACAAAGTCGGCAATGGCCACCAGCAGGATGATCAGGAGTCCGATTTGGGCCTGGATGACAAGAGAAAGGAAGAGGATTCTACGGCTGATCGTTGGGCTATGAGTCAGTCATACGAACCTTGGCCTCCCACTCCATGCCCACGACGACGATGATCAGGAGCAGCAGTATGGTCACGCAGCCTATGATGCGCACATCCTGCACGCCGCCGTCGACGATTTTCCAGTCAAAGTCCGTCATCATGGCCAGCATTGACTCGCAAAAGCCAACCACGTACATGGCACAGGCGACGGCGTTTGCCAGCGAGAAAATGAGCCCAATGGAGCCGCCAAACTCCGGCCCCAGGGATCGGGATATCATGTAATAGGTGCCACCTAGGAAGGGAGATGAGGAGTGCATTAAGACCATTTATAATGTCCCCGAAACCCACCGACGGATGGCACTGGCAGTGGCAGATGGGACTTACCTCCTTTGATGACACCATTAGTGCTTATCGCCGACATCGACAACGCCGTGATGGTCGTGACAGCGGTCGTTGTCAGAATTAATACGAAGCCCTCGATGATGCCCGCCTGTCCCACTACCCAGCTGAGGCGCAGGAAGAGCATGACACCCCAGATGTTGAGGAGGCAGCGTATGAGCACTCCTTTGATCCATCCGAATTTCAAGATGCCATTCATGGCGCCCGACTCGGGGTCCTGATTGCGCGTCAAGCTGTGAGTGTTCTGTGGGTGGAAGGAAATGTGTGGGTGCCATGTGGGTGCCATGCGGGGCGTGAGCCAGGTACAGCACCGGCTGCGGTAGGAAGGGGCACGCTCGGCTTAGGTTTGGGCTTCGGTTTAGGCTCGGCCGCTTGCAAATTTCAATAAAGCTGTCTACTGTTGATAAATGATTCGCCCCGACAGCACGCCTGCCCGGGGGACTGGGCAAATATTTGGCGCTCCCATGGAGATACATGTTTGGAAAGAGAGCCACGCGACTCGAGGGGCTTTCCGTTGGAGCAAACTCTGAGACAACCGCAGATGATTGCAATAGCCTGGAATCTGACCTGGCAGCACCCGGCCCATGATGATGCTGGCAATATTCTTAATAAATTAATCATACGCCACCGAGCCCGAGACCGAGCGCGACCCCGAGCCCCGCCTCATCAGTTAAACCAATTGAACTTTTGAACCGCTGGCCCGTCTCAATTGCTTATTGTTTTTGAAAATGATGCTTAACAAATGATACTTTATTATGGGACGTAGTTTTAAACTCTCAAAAAGGGTGTTGCCACATCTGCCAGCGCGGATATGTTGGGGCCCGTGAAACTGTTGATTCTGTTGTGCAACGCATTAATTGCCCAATCGAACGACCGAATCAGCCGAAAAAAAACAATTTAATTTATTTACGAGCAGCCCCATTGGCAGTCCGTCAGTCCGGCAGTTTACGCTTGCGTTACGGCTTCAATTGTCAGCAATCATGAGGCGAAGTGTGGAAATCAATTAGAGCCAATTGGTGTCATTGCATTTGGTCTTTGCATCCAACCCATGCCATCGCATCCCATCCCATCCCATCCCCCTTTGTATCGAAAATTTGCTCAAGTGACTCCTCACAAAAGTCAGCTGAAAAGTCAGCGGCCTTTCCCCGTCGTCTGGGGAGGAGGAGGAGGAGGAGGCGGAGGTGGAGGCGTACTCATGCACACCAGCGACGACGGGAGCATCGTCTTCAGCTGCCATACGAAAATTCAGTTAGGATACGCGTCTGGTCTTTACTGAAGCAATGCATTTTTTTTTTGTTCGTGTTCTTGTAAGCTGGAGGTGACTCTGCTCCCGGCCCAATTACTGCAACTGACAAGCGAATCCCCCAGGACTGGCCCAAGCTCCTCTGCAGGAGGCTGCAGTGCTAACGACCCCGTGAGATCTGACTTAGAGCGGTATTTGTCAGTCACGCACCGCGCACATGACACGGAGGCACCACCGCACCACCACACCACGCACTCGCATGGCAGCGGGCAGAATCGATTGAAAGTGCCGTATCCGGATCCGGATCGGGGTCCGCCTTCGGGTCATTTGATGTAGTATTGAAATTGCGCAGGATTGCGTGGGCGTGGGCGTGGGCATGGGCGTGGGCGGAGGCGTATAAATATAAATTTAAATTTGCGACTCGTAAAGCATGCGTATTGTTATTTTATGGCGCCTGCAAAATTGTAATTTGTGGGTCTTGAGGGTCCCATGGCTGGGTTTATGGCTCCGGCGTTAATATTCATTTAAATCGAACGCGGAATGGAACCCGCCCGAAGGGCAAGCGAAAGGGAAGCACTCACCTTGCCCGTCAGCGTCGCGTTGTGCAGCTCGTCGAGGGTGGGACGGTAGGCCGCTTGGATGGACATCATGTTCCGGTAGTTGTCCAGACGGGGCAGTGCCTCGCGCGTGAAGTGCCTGTGGGGATGCAGCGGAGTTTGGGGATTGGAAAGGGGAACAGCAGAAGGGGGGGACAGGCCACGACGGTCGTCAGTGGCAGGCGGCGAGGGAAAACTGACCGAAAACTTTTACCATATTTCGTATCGTATATTTCGCTGTCCAGCAGCTCGCGCTCCTCCTGCGAATCGTTGGACTCGTCCGAGTCGCCGCTCCGGGGGTCCACTTGAAAGCGTGTCGTCGTCTGCAGGTCCCTGAAGCGGGACGGCTTATCCTTGTCGCGGAAGCTGCTCTTGATGGATTGCCTGCCAATTAAAACAATGAAGGGTTTTATCAAAGAGAGTACCTTTCTTTGTGTACGCACTCCACGGGTGTGCCGCGGGTGTGCCACGGGTGGACACCGCCTTAATTGCGCTGCCATTCCCCTGCTGTGAACATCTTTCCCAAAAACACAATCCACCGAACACAGCCGCGCAATTCAATTCGAAATCTAATAAGTCATTTCAATTCAATTGAATTCTATTCCAGTGCACCCTCCCCGCCCGCCCTCAATCGCACAATCGAAACTTGCAGTTTTTGATTGCTGTTCATTGTGCCACAATGAGCTATGGTCCTGCTGCAGACGGGCCCGGGCCCGGGACAGGGACGGGGCTTGGAGCAAGGACACCCACGCACCCAGACGGCAGTTCAACCACACTTCGTATTCTTTGCCGATGTGCTGCTGCTGCTGCTGCATGACTCTCTGAGTGTCAGTGTCTGGCACCCAACTGATTTCAAGCGTCAATAGCAGAGAGCACACTTTTCCTGGAGCTCTTTAAAAATTCCCACTGTGCTTCTAACAAACGTTGCAATGAAGTGCCGGGTACCAAGTGCCAAATATCATGTAGTCTAGTGTTGATTCTGGGCACACAAGTGTATCCATGTCATCCAGGGCCTCTGCTCGAAGGCCCCCAGATATTTGTATGATATATGGGACGTGTGTGTTGGCGGTGAAACAGTTTATGTGTCTGCCTCCTCATGTGTGTGTGTCTCTAAATCTTTGGCTTCTTTCTAGATGTGCGATGACAGCCGCAGGCTCGCTCTGACTCGATTGTATGTGGGATGGGATTGTTCTAATTTGTGGCCCGACTCAAAGTCGTGGTGGAATATCAGAAATTAATTATCAATCTGGGAACTCTAAATCCCTTGTTTAAAATTCAAGGGCATCCTTCAGTGAGCTTTGCATTAAATTATCCTGGCCTCGATGGCTGCCAATTTGAGACGATTAAAAGCCCCTCCTGCCCTGCTCCTGCGTACATGAGGAAACCGTGAAAGCCGGAGGCGGGAGAGGGGCGGAGGCAGGGGCGGTGGGGGGTCTGTTACCCGCGCGACCGACCAGCAGTAGGAGAGACGCGTTCATCTCCGCGGAACGCATTTCGTGACGAGTGCCTCCAAGTAGGCAATAAACGGGGCTATAATAAGTATTATCATAAGCCTCATTAACATAGCCCTCGACTCTCAGCTGCTTTCCAAGACACATTCCATTCTGCTCCATTCCATGCCGCCAGGTGACGTCACGGTAACACATTGAAATTAACATTTTATATATGCCCTGCCCTGCCCCTGCTCTGTTTTGGTCACCTACAAATATTGTCAGACATCAGTCCATGATGTCTATGCAAATTGCCTGCCGATGGGGGCACAGGCGTAAATGATTGTTATTAGGAAAGTCTGTGATTCGACGTGGCATTATTGTCTGAATCGACTCGAGCTGCAGCGAGCTGCTCTTTTGGCTCTTTGGCTCTTTGGTTCTTTGCCCCTCGGCAAGCGAGTGTTGAACCTGCCCTTCTGGGGGCTACTGGTGCTTTGGGCCAGAGGTCGTCCAACTTTCGGTCGTAACTTGATAGATGCGCCTGGTCATGGCCACCAGTGGGTGATGGCCACTCCCAGGCATTAAGTTCGAAAAATTCCACAAAATTTAATCAATTTTGAATGATGGGCAACTGGGCCTACAAATTACTGTTGTAGGAAATGTGGCGTGAATGATTAAAAGGCATTCCACAACCAAAGGGCGATGCTCAGTGGGAGATTCGTCTTAAACCGAAGGGGAGGGAGGGAGGGAGGGTCTTGGACAATTGCCAGTTATGATATGAATTCTGAATTTTCGAATTCTGAATACCCAAAAATCTACTCACTCATCTGCATACATTCGTATTCGTATTCGTATTCGTATGGGATGGGAGCGACGCGACGACCTGCGCCTTGCACAGCGATGATTCATTTGAATGGCTGCCCCAGAAGGTATGCTATTTCTGGCGATAACTTCTGAAGCATTTCCGCAACATTCCGGCCATCTTACTCTTCCGGGCCATCTCCTGCTTCCTTTTGTGGCTCCGGAGTGCGGAATGTTAACGCCATAATTAAGCGCGGACAAAATACAGGAGGCGACAAAAGCAAACCTCGTTTGATGAAACACTAAACAATTACCAGAAAATGAAAAACTCAAGAAATTTCCACAATTCTTCGCACAATGGCCACTGGGGAAAAAGGTCGAATCCGTGCAAACCGCACCGCACCCGGGACGGATCCCAGTGCTCCCCCACCCACACCCCCACCCGCACTCACCTCTGTTGTCGTGGCTGGTGTTTGTTCAGCATTTGGGTCGCATCGAAGGCATCGTCCTCGAGCAGTTCCCCATCGATGTTGGTCAGCCGGCGGTAGACTTCGTGGGGTCCCTCGCTGTCCCCGGTCCCGGTCCCGGCCCCGTCGGCCGTCGCGACTTGTGTCTTGCGACTGTTGCCGTTGACCGGATTCACTTGGAACCTATTCGGGGGTCGGTCGGAGGCCGAGCCCAGCTCAAAAGAGGTTGTGTCCGACATCGCGTGTGTCGTGTGTTTGTTTGTGGGGCGCGGGTCTGGCTGTGGGTCCGAATGTTGGTCTGAATGTGGGTCTAGGTGTGGGTCTGGGTCTGGGTCTGGGTCTGGGTCTGGGTCGGGCTGGGTCCTCGCCTAAGGGAATGTTGTTCTATTCAAGGGCTTGTGCGGTTTCCGTGTGCGGGTCGGGTCGGGTCGGGTCGGTCGGAGCTCTCTTCGTATTCAATCGTCGTATCCGGCTGGACCCATTCACTGTGGCTAATTGTGTATATAAGCCGTCTTGTGTGTCCTTTTCGTTTCGTCGGTCTGTGGGGCAAAGCAAAATCAGAATATCCGTTACTGGCGTTTAAAGCGGAACAGCATAGAACTCTATCTGTCTCTCTCTATCTCTATCTGCCTCTCTTCGCGCCGCCTCAAGCTTAAAGCTACTCGAATCTGCAAAGAGAAAGGTGGAAAGAAAAAAAGATTCACATAAATCAAACTGAAAACAAAATCTCATCAAAAATTCCTGTTTCCAAGGCCCCAAAATATTGCTGAATCAGTAAGTGGACCACAAAACCTAGAGAGCCCCAGCCATTCGTTTGTGTGGGCACCCGCTCATTCATATCAAATTAAACATAGTTTTATAATATGTATGTACGTATCGCTCGGCCCTCACGGCCCCCCTTTTCCCACTCGAGGGCAAACTCGAGAGAAAACTTTTCCTGTTATCCAACAAAAAAAAGGACGCAAATATGTATGTATTCCATTTTTTGCAACCTTTCGCTTTGTTTGAGTCTTTTTGTTTCTGTTTCGGATCAGACGCTGAGCCTCTCATAACTCTTCAACTATTTTTAGATAGCTGCTCGAAGGAAGAAGCTATTTCCAGAACAGAACCGTTGCAAATATCCCACCGAAGGGGGAATACTCTGCACCCACATGGGGCTCTACTCTGAAAGCTCGCAGGCCATGGGTATATGATGGTCTTTGTCCTCCGCTGAAGCCAATCTTCAAAGCATCTTCTGCTCCACTCCTCTGAAACGAGTGTTTTGGTGTATCTCACGAGCAACATTCTTCTTGACGGCCAACTGTTGATGCAATTCTGAATGCCCAATGATGCCTCTCTCACATGTCATATTGTCAATATTATGTTTACCAGTTTTTGACAGCTTTTGGCAGTGGCAATACATGGTGCTTCATCAGTTGATCAAAGCATTCTGGTCTTGGAAATCCATTACGAAAATCGTAGAAAATAATGTCCTCATCATTGCTCACCGAAAATTCATTTTTGGTTTATGATATAAGAAGCTCTAAGCATGATTTGCCAAAAAAATGCCAATCTTTTTAAAAGAAGTGTCATACAAAAAATAGCCTAAGCCCCGGACTCTCAAATTTATAGACAGATATTATTGAAAGACTTGCCGCCAAATTGTCATGTTCATAATAAATTAATATGTACTGTATGGACTGTGTTTTTTTTTTAACTTTTTTAAAGCAGAAACATGCTCACATGTCTCTATCGGACGTTCCGCCGAGAGCTTCCTTCCACTTTACGGAAATAATTCTTTCCTTAATTGTTCTTTGCGGCAGAGTGTAAAAGCTCTCCATGTGGAACGATTAAGGCGACGCTGTGCAGTGCCGCCGCTGGCTGCCGCTCGACTAAAAATAGCCGCTGGGGGCAATTGATGCAAATTAATCATGATTAGTTCCCCGATGCGGCCGATGCCAGGTGCGATGGATGACAAATGTGTGTGACGGGTCGGTTCGGTGTTCGCTCGAGTTTTTTTTTTTTTTTTTGATAAATACAAAGCCTCTGAAGCCAGAGTGCTAATTCCAAGGAACGAAGGAGTCGTCGCGCCGCCATCTGATGACAGTCGGAGGCCATTTGTCACGGGCGGCGTGCCGTGGACGGCCGTGGAAGCGGGACGGACGGCCTACATGTGCGATTTATGGGTCAAGTTGGAGGCGACAAGTGCGAAAGGCAACAAAGCCAACAATTAGCATAACAAAACGCCCGGCAGCAGCGGCAGCATAATGGAAGAGTCGAGCAGCGGCAAGAGGCGCGGGAAGGCGAGGGCGAAACGTGGGGCAATTACGCCAATTACGACATTTTTACAGAATTTGTGGGAACTTTGTTCAGCTGGGGATCAGAATTTGCACGAATTTATTGTGGCAATTAAGACTTTAATTCAATGAACCCATCGAGTGTCCGCTGGAAGCCGAGCCCCTGTCCCCACCCTGTCCTGGACAGGTGCAGCGAACTCCGACAGAAGTTATCACCGCCGGCAGATATGTACATAGATAGGTACTGGCAAAGAGACACCTGTTGACCCACCCACAGACCACTGCAGGCCATGACCTGATAAGGGCGAGGCCAAAGTCAAAAGTTTAGAAGCCATCAACTGCTGCTGGCTCGTGGCAGATAGCCAGGCACCCTGGCAGTCTGGCAGCCGCTCCTGCCAAGTCTGGAAGAAGTTCCGGCGGCGCTTGGCTGATTTATGAGTCCTGCTCTGCTCTGTTTTGTTCTGCTCTGATTAATTGGGCCATCAAACCCATTCCCAACATCAAAGGAGCCGTTTAACAACCCATTCCGAGCGAGTCCCATCTTCGCTTCGCCTCGCCTCGAGAATCGAAACGAAGGGAAATCGAGTTTCGTCGGGGCAAATTGCCCCGGCCGTAAAAAAAAGTACATATCTGAATAATTGTTGACACTGCCGCATCCGCTTAACGGCTACCTCTCCGAGGGGGCAATTTGCTCCAGCGATTGCCGGGACTGGAGGGCAGGTGGGGGGGGGACTGTGATTCCGTCTTGCACCCCAGGCCTGCACTGCTGCTCCGTTGCCTATTTACTGTCGAATGGGTTTGCCCGGTTTTGTCGGTTCTCGCGGTTCTCTCGGTTTTCTCCGTTTCCTTTTCATTGCTCAATTCAACGCCCATTCGCGTTTCAATTGCTTCAATAAAATACGCTTTTTTTACAACTTGTTCTACGCCCTTTACTATACGGCCGGAATTAAATGTGGGCTTTAATGGCACTGGCGCCAATTCCCCCAACCCCAATGCCAGCCACAATCCCAGCTCAGTGCTGATCGATGCGGCAGGGGAGGAGCTCCAGTCGAGAATCCGAGAAAACCCTTCAAGACGTACCAGCACCAGATTGCACTGCATTCGAGTGAAAGGCACAGGAGAAAGGGGAAATTGGAGAGAACTGCAAGAATGAAATGCCCCATCTTTAAGCCTTTTTATGCATCTATCGGATAACATCAATACTAAAAGATATGGCATAACAAGTAAAAAGTAGCTCGAGTACAATGCTGTATGCTGGTGGCAAGGCAGTCGTTCCGTTCACACCAGTCGGAATGTCAACAGAGGGGTCATCAAAACGAAAGTGCCTAGAAATTTTATTGCGCGACCTCAATTACAAGATGCTCAGCAAAAAAGCGCAGCCATAAAACATCGAGGACTAGTACAGAGCGCAGGACATGGACGTGGACGTGGACGCGGACAAGGACCAGAACCTAATGACCAGACATCAAGCACATCAGCGCGTCACGCCATGTATGTACGTGTCATTTGGTGATGTCCTGGGCCATTGCAGGACATATTGCCTGATATTGATATCAATCGTTTTTATCCTCGTAGACGGTAATCGGAGCAAAAACAAAACTTTTTTCTCCCACATCCTGTCGACTGATGCCAGCAATGTCCGTGGCGGCCGTATCCGTTCATCAGCAGATGACAGGAGGTCATCTGGGTAGCCCACCACCCTGCCTGTCGTCACACACGCACACAGGCATACAACTACTGAAGGATGTATATGTATCTGTACGGCCGGGATACGCATCAAAGCGGATTAACAAGCCAAAGACCCAGGCCAGGAGCACCAGGAAGATACGTAGGAGAATGGCAGGGGAGCAGCAAAGTGTCAGAAACACACAAAAGCAAAAGTTGAGCAAGTCAAGCGTGCTGATCCGCATTGTATTACATTACTGTCCGCCCACCGAAATGGCCAAAAGCAAACTAGTGGCAACTAGCCGTAAAGGAGGAGAGCAGGAGGGCAGGACAGCAGGAGAACAGGGAAAAAAAACAAAATCAAGAATGTGGGAATGCGGGAATGTAGAAAAAATGCAAAGTGGCTCTGGGGGCTGCTGGGGGGCTGTTCGTGGGGCCCAAAAGCCGAATAATGCAAACGGTTTAGTAATAAACCAGAATGGGTGTCCATTTGGCTACCAGGCTAATTCTCTTAGCCCACAATTCGCGTCGGCCCAAAGGGTTGCCAGATGTCTTCTGCCCGGGGATTTTGTAGTCTCTGAGCATCAGCTACTTAAGCGATTAAGGAGCTACGCGCGCCCGACTGACAGCCAGTCAGTCGCTGTCTGGGCCCAGAGAAATGACGCAACATTTCTCATTTCAAGAAACATTTACACTCGAATGTCTTGCCTGTTGGACGGGCTTCCAGCCTACGTGTAAGGGGGCCTCCGGATTGGGTTGAGGCCAACACCACTTGAGGCCACATATTCCCATTTAGTGCATCATTCCTTTTCGAGGCATTGCACTAGATTACGCGACTGCTTCATTGCCACTTTCGATAGATTTCGAAGGCGCTGTCGCTGTGGCTGTAATCCGATCGGAGGATACACTTATTCACCAGCCAGGAAAGTCCCGTGTCCTCAAATCAGAATTCAGTGAAAGAGACTGCTTGTTATCTACATACGGCAATACCAAGTGCAATATGTTTCCATAGATTCGATTTCTGTTGCGCTTCGGCACTTGCCAGCTGGCCTTCATTTCTCCACGGGAGCCAACGATTTTCTGGAATTCGAGTCAAGCATTTCAGTCGAAAAGGGGATTTGCAAGGACACTGATAATGCAAATTTGAGCCATTCACGTAAGTGGCTCTTACAATATACATATATCATATTGTATCCATTTGAGTTTTGCTTTCTTTTGCCAGTTGCATCCTTTTCCACGAATCCGGCAAGCATCGTTACTCAAAGAGAATTGGTTGAGCGAAAATCAAATCTACTTTTATTTCATGTTCTCGGACTCAACCTGTGCGTCGTGTGCGTTCGAGCTTGACCCAATTTCAGTAGAGAGCCCCGCTCGTTCGCCGTAAACAGGCGGCCAGCCAGACAGCCAGTCAGCCAGTCAGCCAGCCAGCCAGTGCACTGGCAACAGTTTGGTGATGTCTCAATTAAGATTGATTCGAATGAGCTACGAGCAAGTGAGTACTCCATGATGCAACCGCTGCAATGAGCAAGTCCGTTTTAGTGGAGCAGCTGCTACCATAAATATGCACATACTCGTATCTATTCTCCCTGAAATCCACATGACTATTCGTTTAAGTGCGCAATTAATGGGTCTGGGTCTGCCCAGGAAAAGTGCTCAATTTTGTACGTTTTATTACCATTTTTTAACTACTATTTTGT